AAGGTGCGCATCATAGAATGCCAATCTTAATAGAAGAAAGTATTCTTGCATTGAGGGATTCTCCCCTTTCTTGATCCGTTCCTCATGACCATTAATGAACTTGATGTCTCTGCTTTCCCCCAGTCCCGATAGTTCATATTAGTGGGTTCATACAGTGCTTGTCCTTTTGTACCTGGCTTTATTTTGCACGATGTGCTCAAGGCTCATGACATCAACGCAGGAATCAGAACTTTGTCGCTCTTGCTGGGCCACTCTGGTCTCATTTGATGGATGAGATCCACAAAAAGTTCAGGCCTGAAACAATGCTTCAATTCATCAATTACTCTAATTCAGCAGAAGGAAAATTACCTATTTAAGAGAAGTACGGTATCAAGTTTTGAGTGAATAAAAATTTAAACCTCCCTATAAAGTTGGGAGAGGTGTTTTGCTTTTACTGAACCAATGAGAATGTATACCATATAATCAATAAGTAATTAAGTCCTGCATCCATATAACTCCAAGAGGCATCCGAAACTAATAGAGCCTTCATTTCTTCTTTCTGCAGTTAAATCAAATTGCTTGAGTGCTAATTTGATATTCAGTAAATAGCGCCTGGTTTGCACTTTTTACAGAGTAGTGATTAATAACAGGTTTCACTGTCCGTGAGACTGGCTATGTAACCTTGGTTAAATTAATTTCCTTCGCCTCCTTTGCAAGTTGGCTTTGGTATCAACCACCTAACAAACAGGAACATGAGAGCTAAAGCGTGTGAAGCTTAGGGAGATGAGGTTAGTGAAGTAATACTTGCCTGGTACACACAGAACATGTTTCTCTGTGGCACGATGCTCAGAAGAGGATACAGGGTGCAAAACAGAAGGTCAGTGGGTCAAACCCACGTACTGCTCCACAGGAGAACGATGTGGCAGTAGAACTCCAGTGTAGTCCTAGGGGGGTCGTCCTATAGGGCCGGTATGAGGTTGATGACAGGTATGGATGACAGTGGCTTTTTGCTCTCAATGAAGAGAGTGTTGGTGTTACAACAGTTAAGTGCTCGGCCGCTGCCCAAAAGATTGGCAGTTTCCAACCCACCCAGTGGCTCCATGGGAGAATGGCCTGGCCTTCGTCTCTGCTCCAAGACCCGGTGGAGCTGTTCTAATCTGCACACAGGTGGTCACCAGGAGTCAGAGTTGATTCAACACCAACCAGCCACATGATGCTCAGCAAGTGGAGGCCGTTGCACGGGCCCCTGTAGTTGTCCAGATGAGAGGTGATGTGGACCAGCTGAGAGAGCCGGGCTGCCCCGGCTCCCACTGGCTTCAGCTGAGCAGTTTCGCAGGTTTGTTGAGATGGTCTGAGACAGTGGTTCTCAACCTTCCTGATGCTTCGACCCTTCACTACAGTTCCTCATGTCGTGGTGACCCCCCAACCATCAAATTACTGTCACTGCTACTTCCTAGCTATAATTTTTCTACTGCTATGAATCGGATGACCCCTGTGAAAGGGTTGTTTGACCCCCCAAGGGGTCCCGACCCACAGATTGAGAACCGGTGGCCTAAGGGCTCTGTGTTGCTGCACCTTTTAGGAAGAGAGCCAATTGATGCAAAAATAGCAATTTGTACTGAGCTAATGAATGCTGAGTTATTCTTAGTAATTGAAAAGTCAGAAACAAGGAAAAGCTAGTGAGATGTGAGAAAACAGGAAAAACGAGAGTCAAAATAGTTTCCCCAGATGATCAAAGTAATGACCCCATAATTTTTTTACCTCTTGAGGTGTATGCGGTATTTTGAAACCTTATATTTTGTTTTTATAACATGAAAACTCACTTCTAAAGTTGTCCTTTTCTCAGACAACACGAGGAAAAAGAGTACATTATCAGCATTTGTAAGAAAAAAATGTGTTATTAAAAAGGAGGGTGCCCTGAGTGAACCCTTAGTTAAATGAAAGTGCTATGGAATGCTTAAATTGTCTCACGGCAGAACAATGAAAGTGTACTTTTGAGAAGTTTAGTGGACACTACAGTCTATATCCATTCATCTACGAAGTCCTGCATTAGCATTGCCTCGAGTCCTGCAGCAGGCTCTGGCGATCCTGTCCTGAGCAAACTAGACATGGCCGCTTAATCAGAACACTTGTGTGGAGACAGACATTAGTCACATAACAGTTCATGGGGTTTTAAATGTATTAAAAGGTGAAGTTCACCTGCTGATCAAAAGTTTGGCAGTTCAACCCTGCTAGAGGTGCAGTGGGAGGAAGACCTGGAACACCGCATGTGTGAAGGTTAAAGCGTTGAAAACCATATGGGGCATGGGACCCATGCCACATGGGGTGACCAGGCATCAAAAACAGACTCCCTGGCATCTACCAACAAGTCTTGTTTTTCTTTCTGATTTTGCCTAAAACTAATAAATTGCTGTTTGGCAAAAGTATCCTAAAATCACACTGTCTTTCATCTCCTGGCCCCTCTTTTCCTGAGTTATGCAGTATTACTGAGGTTTGTCTGTCTGTAGGGAGAGAACTGCCCGATGAGGAAGCTTATCAACCCTGGATGGTTTGTCCTGTAATTAAAGACTCAATGACTTACTGGTATGCCTTGGAAAAGTCTTGGAAACACCGCTGTGTTCTTAGTTAGTGTCCCGGAAAGTATGGAAGGCCCACGCTTGCCCGATGATGTCGCCGCCGCAGATTGTATTTATGACTGCAGTGGGGTTTTATTCTCTCTGATGGTAACAATCCACTGCCTTCCATTTCCTCACATGACCAACAACAGTGGAATATAACGTTGATGGATGTTCTGCTGTTTTCACAGATGAAAAACCTTTCTTAATAACGGTAAGACAGCGTGTAATTTTTGGGATCCCCCTGAATCCTGACGAGAAGGGCAATGATGCCATGGTCCCCATAGCAGGGCTGCAGAGTGGCTATGATGTGGACTTCGACTACTCAGAGCAATTCGTCTATTGGATTGAGTACCCAGTAAGTATAGAAAGGCATTTAATGTGCGGAGCTTGCTTTTAAGGACTGTGCTGGCACCGATGTCGTATTGTAGAATCACTTTTGTTGGGTGTATAAAAGGGAAATGGTCCAGAAAGAAATGAATTTACCACCGAGTTGTTTTTTTTTTTAATTCAGTGAGAGGTATAAATGTGAGGTTTACAGGGATAAAGATCAGGCAGTTCTTTATCCTCAGGATAATAGATAACATTGACGCCATTGGGTATCATGTATTTATCCAGCAAGCATTTGTTGAGTGCCTACTCTTTGCCTGCATTGAGCTAGCTGAATACATGTTAAGTGGTCATGAAGCTTGTGATTCTCACTTGTCAGCTGTCTCATTATTTGACAGTTTGCATTTGCAGCAGTAGTAACAAATCTGCAAATAACGTTCTGTGCATTCATTCCATCACCAATCTGCTGCTAGTGAATGTGGAAATGTGAGGTTGTGATGGTTAAAGTTATACGACAACGTGACTGGGTCTGATTCTCTATAGTTTGGCGGTTATGCAGCGACACAATTTGAAGGTTATGTAACGATGTGATCATCCTCCGTTTTATGATCTGATGAGTCATACTCCACTTTCCCTAACACCTAGGATCTTGGTTTGAAACGGAAACATGCTGATGAGTGAGGAGTGGGTGTGGAGGGCAGTGATATTGAGACCAGCATAAAGTGATAACCACTCAAGTTGCAATTCTTGAAATTCCTGCTAGAGCATTTGGTGTGGTTACTCAGTACCTCACCCAGAATCTTTAGCCCCCTGGTGAAAATGAGTAGTCCTCAGTCCATCCTGTCCCACGGGGCTGCATGACTCTACCTGGGGAATGAATCGTTCAGAACACAATTGAAGAAACAAAAATTATTGATGTGTTTGACACTTTTCACCTCTACCTTGAACAAACATATCCCTGGCCTCCTCGTTCAGAGGAGTGTTTTACAAAGCATCGCTGGCATGAGCATTAGGCACAGTGAGTTAATGGCACTGAACATTTGTCTGCCTTTTATTAAGTGTGAAGGATGTCAAAGAAATACAGCTGCTGGCAGTAACCACAATGAAGAACCCGCTTTCATTCCGAAGCCATGGCTTGGAAGGGCTCACCTCCTGTCCCCGTTTTTCTCCCAAGGGTGCAATCCATAGAGTGAAGACAGACGGCACTGGCAGGATGCTGTTTGCCCCTGCCTCTCTTGTGGGATTTCCCAGAAGCTTGGCTGTAGACTGGATATCAAGAAACCTTTACTACACTAGCCCTGGAACTCAGTCAATCGAGGTAATGGTCCCATAGTACTGCTTTTACCAAGACTGGTTTCTGACTTAGGTAAAAATCTCTTCTCAGAAATGCTTCCCTAGGGATTTTGAAATCATGTTAGGGGACAGGGGAATTGCTGTGAGGATTGACTGTCAAAGTCTCTGAAACTAAGGAGTCTTCCTTCTGTCTGTCTGTGTCTTCCTAAATAGATATACTACCTTATTCCTTAAAAAAAACACATGAACACACAATGGAATTTTAGGTTATTTATAAACAAATTTTGGGGAGGAATTCAGCATAAAGGGGAAGCTTATAGCAGGAGGGGAACTTTTGCCATAATGCTATTTAGGTTCTAAATTATTTGTAGGTTACCTCAGCTCTTAGATGCAAATCTTTCTATGGCTCCAATATAGTTTTCTAACCAAAATAGAAAGTAGAAACTTGATTCTAATTCCTTTGATATTCTCATCTTGGCGATAAATGCTCTTTCTACTCTAGCTCCCAGAAGAAATTCTAGATGGAGAGTAGGTATGAAATCACATGAAGTAGTTCAGAGGTAACTTGACCAGTATTGGTTTTGACCCATTCTGGGACAAGGTTAAGATATGTAAGGGATTGTTAATTCACAATGATTAATTCCCTACAGAAGAGGGAAGGTTTTGTGGGAAGCATGATTGGCAGGGCTTTTGAGAAAGATGCTCTACTGCTTTGGGCGGGTGGTTCTTTGCGGCTTTCAGAAAGAGGGTGCTGAAGATGAGCATGCATACAACAGCCTGGTGGCGGAAACAGAGCAGATTTGCTAGTGGGGATCACAGGGGCGTAGTGCTCTCACAAGCACCGGCTTCCTTGCTCCTGACAACACTCTCCAGGATAGCCACGCTGACAATGTGTGCAGAGACTAACCCAGATGATACGCCTGCTTGATTGTAGATAGGAACCTGAGGCCCACAGAGGGTAAGCAAGTGCTCATCTGCACTAACTAGTGTTCTGTGCATTTATCAAAGCCACCACCTAGCAGTCCAGACTTGTTTAACCCCTTTGACAGTGACAAAAGGTACTTTTATAATAAAACCACAGCAATAAAAACAAAACCCACGCTCTCTTCAAAATATAATTTATTGCCTTAATCCCAAACCCACATCGCTCTAGAATATACTCCATGCAAAGCTGTTTTAATTGCAGATGACAACACATTCTTACACACTATCCCTTGGATTCTTGCGATGTATGTGTGTGTGTCTTCCCATTTAGACCAATCATTTCCTAGAAGCAGCAGAAATGCTGTCTCCGTTGGGGTATTAGGTACAATCAAAGACAGTCAAAACATTGCTGTGAATGCACGCATGTCCTCGTATGTATGCGAGGGAGCCTCAGAAATGTGATGAAAAGGTAGTGACATTTTTCAGTGAGATGTTTGAAGGCCCTTGTATTGGTAAAGTCACTGTGATCATAAATCTGCACAGCTGTAACTGTGCCTCACTACAGTGTGGTAAGAGGAAAGAGAGTTTGGTTTGGAACGCAGAACCTTAGACTGGCTGTGAGTCTGGCTCACTTCTCATGTAGTCATTCAGCGAGGGGGAGGATGCTCCTTTTTTCTGCTTCTGAGTGGGCCACACATGGAAGAGCCATCAGGTAAATACCTGTGAGCTAGCTGCGGTAACAGTAGTACCTGCTCTGTGCTGAGGATAGGGTAGAAAGGGGTGGGACAGGGTAACAGGATTCCCATTAGTGGCCACTCATGCACCAAGTCTGAGGGACAGATGTTCATTTCTGCCAAATGCAGAAGTAAGGAAAATGAGTCCCAAGTGGAGACAAATGCTTGGGGATGAAGACCCTCTGCTGTGAAAACAGTTTCGAAAGACAGCACTCTACTTCTTTCACACTTTTGGTAAATTGCTTAACTTCTGAGCCTCTAATTCCTTGCCTATAAAACATGGGGCAAACAGCTCCGTAAGGACATCTCAATGGTAAGGTAGCCTATGGATTTCAGAGCAGTTTCCCTCACATCACTAATATCCGTAGAATCTCCATAAAACACCTAAGAGAATCATGATCCCTGAGTAGATTACACTTTTTTGGCTTCCATTGGGTTCCCCTTAGTCATTTTCTTTTAACTCTTGATTTGAATTGGGTGGAGGTTTAAGGAGCAGATGATCAATTTTACTTTCAGTAATTTGTATACATTTTGTTCCATCTCATTCATTATCATCCCCTTCAGTTGTTTTCACGTCAACAGTCAGTGGCTAATGCCTGGTAAATATTAGATTACAGGGGTGTAACGTGGATAGTACGCCTTCAGCGTAGGACAAATTTATATTTCATTTCAACTTGAACTTGGAAGAGGAACATCGAAGACTTCGTTTTCCACTAGGGGTAGCTGTGTACCCATTCACGGAAGGAATTTTTGTAGTTGAAAATTGAAACTAGTCTGAAGGAGAGGGAGCTTGATGTATTCCGGGAGACAAGGAAAGGCATTTTCCTTGAATCTAATAAAATTTAGGTGCCCAAAAGGGAGACAGATTGTAGCAGAGAGAAGCAAATTGAAAAGGGAAAAAAATTAGTTCAAGTAGGAGTAACCAAACAGAAGGGCAAGAATATCAACAGAAGAGAGAGAAAGAGAAGGTGAGAAGAGAGGGTGGCAGACACACAGACACACGTAAGTAATACATTTTTGTATTGAAGAACAGTTTTATAGAAAAACCTTAAGACCGAAGGTATTCCTTCAGTATTGCTCGTTCCTATAAGAAACTGATGAAAGAATGCATTCTAGTCTAACAATGTGTATTTCTACGATACATTTCAAGGCTCAGTTAACATTGTGAGTACTCTCAAGGAATAATACAGCAATAAAAAATTAATATATAATGCTGGGGTTGCCCCAAACCGAAAAGATTTCCTCATCATCCTTCACATGGGTAGCACAGAATTATTGTGCTGATTAAATATGGTGGTGCTAAGCAAAACGCCTGTTACATACCTGTTTCCCCGAAAGTAAGACATCCCCCGAAAATAAGACCTACTTACAGTTTTCCCTCTCGCTGAAATATAAGGCATCCCCCTGAAAATAAGACCTCCCCGAAATTAAGCCCCACCGAAGCGACCGTAACTCTGGACTCTGGACCGTAGACGCGCAGCTCACTGTTGGCTACAGTGCAGCCGGAGCAGACAGGAAGTACGAGGTCTCTTAATAAAACAATAAATGTGTACCAAATTCTTCTTCATGGAAAAATAAGGCATCCCTGAAAAGAAGACCTAGCGCATCTTTGGGAGCAAAAATTAATATAAGACACTGTCTTATTTTCGGGGAAACAGGGTAGTAAGTGCTCAGTAACTCGATCAGTAAAAATATTAAACGCAGTTATGCTCGGGGCAGTGTTGTATGTGTACAGCGAAACCTGTAGGAGCTGGAACTTGATGGGCCTGTTTTCCATCTTTGATAGGGTCCATTCTTACCACTTTTCTGTTGCTCTCTTATTAGTAGAAAATATCTGAGTTTTCCTTCTCTGACAGGTACAGCCTTAAACAGGTGCTGGCTTTTATAAGTTTTATTGTATTGACTCACACGCCTGTGAGCGCTATGTGGAAGGCGGTATTACCTTGTTTCACATTTATAGTTAGGACTTGTCAAGGCAGATAACTGAACTCAGGAATTTTTTTTTTTTTTTTAAACTCAGACCATCGACTTGCAACAGAATTCGCTCTAACTCCGAATGACTTTAGATAACGTTGACTCACTGTGTTTGCAGTGACCTTCACCTGGATGCCATTGCCGGTTCTTGGGGTGCAGGAGGGTTGCGGAGTTTACATTTGTCTTCCAGGGGTTGCTCTTGGTGTTGTTTTCAGGTGCAGTCAGTTGGAGCCTGTGCGCAATAGAAGAAAACACTGCCGTGCCCTGCACCGTCCTCACGGTCTTCCTATGCTCCCGCCCCTGTTGCAGCCCCTGTGTCAATCACGTTCAGTTTTCCCAAGCGGTGGTTCTGGTGTGCTGCCCATTTGACATGTTCTCTCTTCCATGTCAGTTTCCGCTTCTGAAATTTAGATGAATCGAAAACAGGAATTGGGGCGGTGACTTTGCTTTTTCTACTTCCGTCTTCTGTTGAGTAGATTTCCTCCTGGCCCTGAAACACACCCAACCTTAGCCCTGCTTTGGCTCTTGTTGCCTACGTGGGTCTCCTCAACTACATCTCTCTTTGTTTCGGTGCTCTGGTTTTGTGCTGTAGGTTTTGACGCTCAGGGGAACTCGCCAATACGGAAAGACTCTGATTACCAATGATGGGACAACTACCGGAGTTGGTCATCCGATTGGCATAACTGTTGATCCCGCCCGCGGGTGAGTGTTAACGGCACACATTTTCTTCACAGCTTCTTTCTTATGAATGTAATGGTCTGATATTTGAAACGAAGGGCATTTTCTGACTCCACAGAGCAACATTTGAAAATTAAAAATCTCAATGAGAAAGTGAGCTCTGAGTTGTATGTAACTTGTGTTTTATTCTTGTTGCTCTTTAAATTAATAAAGTGAATCCCCCAGCAAGCCAGAATTTCAGGAACTTGAAGACAGATTGGAGAAAGAACACAATACATTCAGAATCTGGGCTCTGTAGCATGGGAAATAGACTTTGAAGGATGAGAAGACTCCTAGGAGGTGAAAAGTGGATTGCAACCAGAGAGTGGAACGTGAGGCACAGAATCATGGCAGTGTTTTGTGTGACTGTATGATTGTGATTGTATAGAACCAGAGGCAAGCTGACCAGATGGGAGATCACAGCTCAGGTCACTGAGGATGACCTTTACTGTCACACGAAGGACTTGGACATTCTTCTTTTTTCTTTTTGGACATTATTCTTTTGAGTAGATAGGAGTAGCAGAGAAATCTGAGGAAAAGAGTGAAAGAACCGAGTATGTGTTTCAGAAAGATCGGGTTCCAGGAGAGAAACCTCAGACACAAGGTAGGAGAAAAGTAGCTTAATGAGTAGACTTGAATCCTTTGCTCCTTTTGACTGGTTATCTGTTTTAGTGATCTATGGTATTGTACTATAAACCAGAATAAGAGATTGTAAAATATTAGCTCCCCCCCCCCTTTTTTTTTTTCAAAAAAGAGGTAGCCATCTCTTTCTAGTTTCTATTTGAAAGCCAGCCAAGAACTGGAATAATTTGATTCATAGCAACCCCCCTGTGGGTTTCTGAGTCTGCAACCATTTACAGGAGTAGAAAACCCAGTCTTTCTCCTTGGACCTGCTGGCAGTTTCAAACTGCCACCCATGCAGATCACAGACCAATGCATAACCATGACACCTTCACCTGGTGTATTAGCTAGAATACATTAATTGTTAAACTCAGCAATATATAATGACTTTTGAAAAAAAGAGCCTATTTCTCTTTCATTTGGGTGGAACTGTACTCATTCGGGAGCCAGGCTAGTAGGAGCTCCGCCTTCTTCAGGCCATCCTGAGGATGAAGGTCAAACTCCACTTGAAAGAGATGACTATCTCTTCTTTAAAAAAAAGAAAGAAAGAAAAGAATCAGTGCTAGTGTTTTGCAATCCATTATTCTGGTTTCTAAGATAATAGATCCGTACATGCATAGCTAGTCAAACAGACCAGGGGTATTTTGAGTGGTCAAAGAATGAGCACCTAGGAACATTCTTGGAGTCTTTTCTGGATCAAAACCACGAGCAGTACAAAGGACTTTTGCTCTTGTTCCTTCAGCTAGAACTCAGCCACCCGACCACAGCACACTGTGCGGCAAGCAGGAAATGGAGTGCAGCTCATTTTCCCAGAAGAAAGAGGTGGACATGGGATTTTGGGAGAAGAAGCTGTCTTTTCCCAAGGTGCCAGAGTTGGGGGTATCAGTGGAGGGAGCAGTTACAAAGGGGAAAGGTATAATTTATAACCTCCAAACGCGTCTGGGGACCTGTGGTGGTCCACAGCGAGTAAAGGTTTGGACTGCTAGCTGAGCTGGGTACTTTGAACCCACTAGCTGCTCTGCAGGAGAACGATGAGGCAGTCTGCTTCTGTAAAGATTTGGAGCCCTGGGAACCACAGGGAGCAGTTCTGTTTGGTCCTATAGGGTCACTGTGATCCACAGCAGTGGGTTACCAGTAACCCTGGTTATGTGCTGGGCTGCTGAGTACAAGGCCAGCAGTTTGAAACCAGCAGTCACTTCTTGGGAGACAGAGGAGGCTTTCTACTCCTGTAAAGAGTTACAATTTCAGAAGCTCACAGGGGCAATGCTACCATGTCCTATAGGGTTTCTGTGAGTTGGAATAGATGGCAGTGAGATTTTGGGTTTTTTTGGGGGCACATGACTAAGGTTCACAAGGGCTTAAAAAAACAGGATGGAAGTGCTTCAGAGAGATGGTGGCTCCAGCTTGATGGAGGCAGTGCTGTTTGAAGGGGATCTTGAGGGGCACACAGCTTCTCACGTTGACTTTGAAAACTCAAGGCCAGAGCAGAAAGACAGAAAAGTGAGGTAACTGTGAGCAACCCAGTTCGCTTGGGAGGCAGTTGAAAGAGCTTAGAATTTGGCCAGAGGAGAGGTGGGAGGAGGCGGAGGACAGTTTTACACCCATAGCGTTGTGGAAGGTCGGAGAAGGGCAAGTTTTGAGAATGTCATGGTCAATGCTATTGAATCAGTTGCTGCAGAAAAATATCTCTGTGGACAGTCAGTAATAGAGGCCACTGGTAACATTTGGGAAAAGCACTCAGTAGAAATGGAAAGGAGGTGAAGAAAGAAAGGAAGAGGACGAAGCTGAGGAGTTTGGTATTGAGAAATTGGGTCAAATGCAGCTGGTAAAAGAATTTTTGATGATGGGAGACCTGATTTTATTTTGGGTGCAGGAAAGACCAATAATGAAGATGGAATTAAAGCGACAGGTATGGGGCGCTCACGAGCTAGAGCTTTATGAAAAGCAGGAATGACTCTAGAACCACACGGGGGAAACAATGAGATACCACGTGATTTGCATGTATCCATGTAAATAGCACACACATGCCTAAAATGTGCACAGTACTCGTCGTAAACTAACGCATAAGAGGGTTGCACAGTTTGCAAAAATCCGTATAATGTCTATGTTATTTGTGTGAAAAACACACCAATCACCTAGGGATTGAGAGGCCTCAGCCAAGGTGAGCTTGTTTAAATTGAACTCAGAATTCATGAAGGTTTTATGGTTTTGTCCAGCCAACTTTTAGCAGCCTGGCATAGGAGTGGAGAACTACCCAATAATAAAGAGCAGAAACTCAAGGTTAGGAATGTGCAAGGCAGGCATAAGAGAATAGTGTTCAAATGGTTACACATGAGGAAAGCAACTGGAGTTTAGGTAGAGCTTAACAGCATTGAGCAGGAGAAATCAGATGGCAGTAGGGGAGAGAGGAGAGAGTTTGGTCAAAGCAGAGAATTCCAAAATGTTGCCTGTTTTTTCTTCTATGCTCTGTTTTAAAATTAAAAAAAAACTCTGTTTCTTTTGTCACAGAAATCCGAGTAGGCAAGTAAGTGACATGATGGATTTGAATAAGAATGAGATAAGCCCAACTTAAAACAATAAAAAATTAGTTTTGGCCATCCCAGTGTATTCGCCTGCATGTCATTGTTTTCTAGCCGTTGATTATTGAAAAGAGGTCCTTTATTTGTTCTAAATTTCCTGACTATCTGGTTAGCTTCAAGTTTCAGCTCCCAATGGAACACTCTAGCTTCCTGTGTGACACCATTTTAAATGGCCTCGACCCCACTGACGACTAGAAGTCCACAGGAAGTCCACATCACTAGCTTTATACCCTCCATGAACTCCGCACCACGGTCTTTATGTTCCAGGTCTATGTCTCTGGATTGTGAACACTTGGAGACATGAAGCACACATTTTTCATTGACGTATTTACATGACAGACGCTTTACCCCAACCCACCTTTGATTCATTAAACGCTGGTGTCTTTCATGCATGTAGGAAGCTGTACTGGTCAGACCAAGGAACAGACAGCGGGGTTCCAGCCAAGATCGCCAGTGCTAACATGGACGGCACGTTTTCCAAAGTCCTTTTCACTGGGAACCTGGACCACCTGGAGTTCATCACTCTGGACATCAAGGAGCAGAAACTCTACTGGGCGGTCACCAGCGTGGGAGTGGTAGGAGCACCCTCTTTTGGCCTGCACTGCTAAGCTTGTGTCATTGAGCAAAGCCCCGTGGTATCTGTTTATGCCCTTTCTCCCATTTCTTTCCTGATTTAGTGATTTAAATGCTAGTCTTTGAACATTCTCTAGGCGTCCCAGTTATGAAGACGCCGAGAGCTCAGTGCCCCTCACAACAACACTCTTCTGTCATGTGCTTCTAAAATAGAGTCACCGTGGAAATGTGCCTGGTCATGTCAGACTCCAGGGCTGGCTTCATTGTAGTCTGCCACGAACAGCAGAAACTATAGGGTGCTTCGCTGAAATAGCATTTGCCCTTTACTGCTGTGCTTATGTGGATGATCTGAGGGGTAGGCACATCACCCCTAATATGTACTGATAATGGTGGTAGCCTTTGGGGGTTAAGGAAAAAAAAGGGAAAATGGAGTTCCAAGAGCCCCTCCCACCCCTATCATGCAAAAGCACTTTTCGGACTTTGATGCATTTGTGCAATGAGAAAGCTTCTCACATGAAAACGATCCTGGGAACAGAATGGGACCTGGATACTGAGCTTGCCCTTGACAGAATCCCACCCTCTCCCTCCCCATGTCGATCTGTGAACTGGTTAGTGGTGTGACTCTCCATCCTTAGACTCATGCTTCTAATCATCACACAACCCTGGCAGTGTGTCCTTAGCCGCTTCTCTCAGGTACGGTCTATGCCACCCGGAGCCTCTTCTCAAGCCTTGACTTGGTTCTTGGCCTTCATTCTTGAATCCTGATTTTTTCTTTTAGGATGAAGACATGGTGTCTTCCATGTTGTTCCCAGCAGTGACATCTGGTCACTGTTCAGAACCCTGGCCTACGGTTCTAACTCTTCAGCTGAGTTTAGCCAGCTAATCTAGATGTGGCCACTCCCATTTGAGTTCCCTCCAAGGTTATAGTCTCTGCACTGTCTCTTGAATTAGGCCAGACCATACCAACCTGCCCTTGTAAATGCTGGGTCCCTTGTTGAAAGACTGAGCCAGACCTTACTTGTCTCTCTCTCCAATGCCTAACTCCCATCCTGCCACACAGGAGGCACTCGAGACAGGTTTTGGAATGAGATTAAACTGGCTCTGCTTACATGGACAGGAGCCCTGGTGGCATAGGGCTTATGCACTGGGTTGCGATTCGCATGGTTATCAGTTCAAAACCACTGTAGCAGCTCTGCGTGAGAAAAACTGGGCTTTCTATTCCCATAAACAGTTATAGTCCTGGAAACCCACAGCGGGGTCTCTCTGAGTCAGCATTGATTCAATGGCAGCGAGTTTGTTTGTCTATCTTGAGGAGCCCTGGGGGCACAATTGTTATGCATTGGGCTGCTAACCACAAGATCAGCAGTTCAAAACCATTAGCTGCTCCATGGGAGAAAGATAAGGCTTCTTACTCCCATAGATGTCTGACAGTGTAAGACATGACAAAATAATAATTTATAAATTATCAAGGGTTCATGGGGGAGAGGGTGCAGGGAGGGAGGGGAAAATGACCTGATACCAAGGGCTCAAGTAGAAGGCAAATGTTTTGAGCATGATGAGGGCAACAAATGTACAGATGTGCTTGACACAATGGATGGATATATGAGTTGTGATAGGAGTTGTACGAGCCCCCAATAAGCTGGTTAAAAAAAAAAGGGTTTGAGATGGACCCTGTCCTGTAAGGTCACTATGAGTCAGAATAGACTCGGTCGGCGCTGGGTCCTGGGTCTGTTGAAGGAGCCCTGGTGACAGTGGCTCACCCATGGGGCTGCTGGCTGTAAGGTTATTGGTTAAGCCCATCAGTTGTTCGCAGGCAGAAGGTGAAATTATTTGCTCTTGTAAAGAAGTGTCGCCTTAGAAACCCAAAGGGATAGTTCTCCTCTGACCTGTGGGTTGAGTCAGACTGACTCAGTGGTAGTGGGTAGATCTACATTGTGGTTTTTCGTTTCATTTTGCGTTTTGTTCTTAACATTGTGATGTCACCACCCCCTCCCCGCCCTCCCCTACCCTCACCCCCACCCCCCTGAAGCAGCAGGGTACTACTTATCATGTCCCTTAGAAACTTCATTCTTTTGACATAATTTCCAGTATCTCAAAGTCATTTTAATGAACACATATTAAACCTAAGCTAGTTGCTGTTGAATCCATTTCAACTCACAGTGACCCCCTCTAATAACTATGCTCCATAGGGATTTCAATGACTTATATTGGAAGCAGGTTGCCAGACTTTTCTTCTGGGGCACCCACTTCCAAGGTGCGCTACATTTCCTTTTCTTCCTTTTTCCCTTTTCTTGTTGAGAATAGACATAGCGGGACATACACCAGGTCCGCAGTTACTACGTGTTCGATTCAGTGACGTGATAACACTCTTCAAGCTTTTCAACCCTTCCCATCCTCCTTTCTGAGTTGTTCCTCCATCAGCAACACACATTCAGGACCCCATACATGTCCTATCCAACCTTGCTCCTGTCAATTTGATCATATACAGGTAGTTCTTGCAAGAACATTATGACCAAGATGAGTGTCTTTTACTGGTTAAACTAAACTATTGTTTTAAGACGACTTAGGGTATTTTTTTTCTTAAAGTTTAAAGATTATCTCAGGGCAATAGTTAAAAGGGGTTCACCATTCTCCATGGCTACAGAAAGGCCATGAGAACTTGAAATCCTGTCCTGCCCTTTACCTCTTTGGATCAGGATTCTTGTACGGGAGTCATTGACTAAAAGGCTCCGTCCTGGTAGTCAGGCACCATTCTTGTGGTCTCCTGGCCAAAAGGAAGACATTCATGGGGACAACCACACAGTTCACGGTCCCCTCCTCCTTCTGATGCTCTTGGCTCTCTCTGGCACGCCCTATGAATAGAAGCTAATCGTGCGCTGAATGCTCCCTTGATGCCAGACCTTTGCAGTAAGCTAGGCTCCAGAACAAAAGCACCAAACCCATCGTTAGGCCAATTAACTGAGATTTTCCACGAACGCACATTTGATTCTACTGAAAGTAGCTTGAGCAGCTATTCTTTGTGTTCTGATTTCATTTGGGGGAAGATGCAGATCGCGTAATTCAGCTTTCTACAGATGTACAACTTATTGACAGCAATGACAGTTCTTGGCTGTCCAATCCGTCCCTCAATTAGCAAGGGTCTTTCTGTCACAGTCACCCTCCCTTTTCCACCATCATTACACTTTTTCCCTTGGTAACTACAAATATATGTTGTCTCTTTATATTGCTTTTTCTTGTCATTTTGTGTGAGATCTTACAATATTTGTCCGTTGTGATTGGTTTATCTCAGTTAGTATAATGTCTTCAAGCTCCACCCATACCGAAACATGTATTTGTTATTTTATGTTTTGTTTTTGCTTAAAAAAATAAAAATCTTAGCCATTCTCAAAAAATCTCACTTCCATTGATTCCCCCTGCGTGTGACTACATGACAGAGGAGAACTGCCCCTGTGGGTTTCTGAGGCTGTACATCTGTACAGGAGTAGAAAGCCTCATATTTCTCCCTTGGAGCAGCTCTTGGTGTGAACTGCTGACCTTGTGGACTGAAGTCCAATGTGAAACCACCACGCCACCAGGCTTCTCACGTGGCCATCCTAGTGGGAGTGAAATGGCGTGGCCATCCTAGTGGGAGTGAAATGGGATCCCATTGTGTGTTTGATTCTGGTGACACTGAGCACCTTTTCATGTTTGGCAGTAATTTGAATGTCCGTTTTGGTGAAATGTCTATTCAAGTCCTTTGCTCATCTTATGATTGGGCGATTTGTGATTTTATTAAGTTGCTGGGGTTTTATATATCTCTTGATTATTAGCACTTGAAGATCTATGGTTTCCAAAGATATTCTCCCAGTTGGTAGTTTTTCTCTCACTTTTGTTATTATATTAGATGCATGTTGTTGTTTTAATACAATACCACTACCCTTTGTCCTCATCCAATCTTGCTATTTTCTGTGATTATATGAAGCATGATTTTATATATAGGAGTCCTGGTAATGATGTTAACTTTTTCACAACCAGATTATTATCTGATTTTAATTTTGTATTAATTCCTTGGGTTTTCACAAATACAGGAATGTTGAAATTAAGGGGGAAAAGTTTTTGGTTTTTAAAAAAAAATAAATTTTGATACAATTATACGGGACACATCTGTCCCAAGTGGACTTTGGTATTAGGATTGATGGAGTGAAGCTTGCTTCTTTGACTCATGCAGTTATACATGTCCCCACCAGGTGTCAGCATGTATTATAGCTGGAGATGAGCCTTTTCCAAGAAACCTGAGAGGCTGAAAATGTTTGGTGGGAGATAGTTGTCCCCTTGGTATGAAAGGGTTAATCGCAGGGTGAATCAGCACCTTTGTAATGGCTGACAGCTAGACATTAACTTTGTTCCTTGATTAAAATATTCATGAAGGGACTAGACCTTCAGTTGTGTTTTCTTCAACAGGCATCAAAGGAAGCTAGGTGATACATTTGAACTGCAGCTTCCTTATCCATACCCTCCTGACTGACTAGCTGTGTCCGTCAATTCAGAAAAGAGAACTCTGTTACTGGGGTAGAGTGCTATACAAACATGGGTATTCGTGTAAGTAAAACCAATGCAAAATCTGCTCCTTTAGATTGAAAGCGGAAACGTGGACGGTACAAATCGAAGAATCCTGGTATACCAGCTCTCCCACCCCTGGGGAATTGCTGTCCATGGTTCCTTCCTTTATTATAGTGATGCAGACTATGAGGTCATTGAACGAGTTGACAAGACCACGGGAGCCAACCAAGTAGTCTTGAGAGACAATGTTCCAAATCTGAGATGCCTTCGCATCTATCACAAACCAGGTGAGTACTTGTCAGGGAAACTCAGTAAGGCTCCTGAGCTGGTTATCGTGACAGCGAGAATGGTCAGATACAGATGGCCGGACCTGGAGTAGCAAGCCTCATGTTCCTCCCAAGAAACAGTTGGTGGTTTCAAATCACTGACCATGTGGTTAGGAGCCCAAGTCATGAACCCCCATGCCACCATGGCTCCTTATTAACAGGATGGAATTTTTAATTGTAAAGGAATGCTTTAGACACTACCTATTCGAATGTTTCTCAATGTTTCTAATATACTTTTTACTTTTTATTTGTCCCTTTAAGTTAATGTTATGATACAGAGATCATGTTTCACAGCTCATAACTTTTAGTGTCCATCTAAAGATTACTAGATGAGTTTTTTCCTGTGTTGTAACCTGCTTTTCACTTTGTGTTTGTTTTTATTGCATGTGAATAAAAAGTTTTAAATATTCTTAATATACTTTGATTGATTTTGTAATTGAATCAATATACTTTTAACTTCCACGCGGTCAGCCTTCCTTATTCTTCTGTCATTGGTTGGAGAAAAACAATTGTTTTTCTCTATTATGCAATAGTACTGTTTTCATATTTGCTTTATAAGCTGTAGTCTCTGCAATGCTGCTTGTAGGTTATTGAACACACAGATACTGTGTGTTTGTTGTTAGTAGTAGTATTTTTTTTGCGTGGTAAGTAGGTCAAAAGTTCCAAACCTGATTTTTTTTTTCCATTTAGATTCTGCTGATTCCTCAAATGGCTGTAGTAACAACCCGCTTGCCTGTGAGCAGATTTGCCTGCCTGTACCCGAAGGGCTGTTCTCCTGTGCCTGCGCCACTGGATTTAAGCTCAATGCTGATAATCGAACCTGCTCTCCGTACAGCTCTTTCATTGTTGTGTCAATGCTTTATGCAATAAAAGGTTTTAGCTTGGAACCATCTGATCACTCACAGGCCATTGTGCCAGTTGCAGGCCCAGGTGTGTCAACATAAGTAAGATTTCACTTCATGAGGTATCAGATAGAAACCTTTGCTGTTATAAAAGAATTTCTTTGGAGTTTGAATTCAAAGTGTTTCTCAAACTTTAATGTGCAGCAGAATCACCTGGGGGGCTTGATGAAACAGATTAGGGGACCATCTGGATAGTTCCGATTCAGTGGTTAATGAATTTGTACTGAGAACATGATGGTGTTGCTCCTCCATGGATCGCACAAGCTCAGGAAAACACAGAATGGAGCAGGGCTTGCAAGAAATCTTTCAGAATTGGAGTTCGGAAGAACGATGCCTTATTTCTGACTGTTAGTAGGGACTTCGGGTAGAAGGGACTACCTGTCAGGCTAATAATAGTCCACAGTCTGATTTATTGTTGCATCTGTGGCGAATGAGCCCACTCTTAATCTCTCCATCCTCAGCATGTTTTTTTTTAATCGTTTTATTAGGGGCTCATACAACTCTTATCACAATCCATACATAAATCAATTGTGTAAAGCACATTTGTACATTCAGTGCCTCATCATTCTCAAAACATTT